CAGATCGGAGCTTTTGACTCTTCGCAGTTTCAGGCAGGAAAAGTTTGGCAGGTAGATCTGCTAGGACCCCTCCCAGGGTCTAAACCGCCAAATAAAGGACTAGTTGTTGTGGACTTGGGAACAAGACAGTTACAGGTTATTCCCTTACGGAGGAGCAACGCCACTGCTGCGATTGCAGCCTTGACTGCTGTGTTTGCCACCTGGCAACCACCTCACGAGATTCAGTCTGACGGAGGACCTCCGTTTAACTCTAATGCTGTGGACAAATTTGCTCGTCTTCACAACGTAGTATGGCATCTTCACCTGCCATACCACCCGCAGTCCAACGGCGTTGTGGAAAGGCACATAGGCCTGTATAAAGAACAACTTCATCTTAGAGGAGGATGAACGTTTAAGAACTGGACCAAGCTAAATCATGATGTTTTCATCTCGCTGAACACCACTAAGCCTTTATGGGATGAAGCCAATGTCCAAGAACCTCCACCTTGGAAGCCCAAGTTCCAGCCAGATGAGTTAGTGTGGATCTCGATAACTCACCCTCATCAGTCTCACCCGCAAGTTCACAAAGGAACAGTTCAACGGTCAGGACAGTCCAACTAGAGGAGAAACCTGATCGTCCTCCTATCATAGTTCATCACAACTGGATGACTTGCCGTTCCGACGTTCACCCAGTATCCTTACCGTAAATCCAATTATGATTCTCTCTTGTTTTGTTTTGTTGTTGTTTTCTTTTCTCTACAGATTTAGCCCCAACAAAAGCGATAACCCACAACAGCCTGATTACCACACTGCAGTTCATTCGGATCCATAGAGTGATGGTGGTAAAGGAGACACTGAGACAGAGAATGTCCATTTGCTCAGGACTTACTATGACACTGTTTTCTCTCATTTTATTAGGCGTTTTATTGACATTGTCTGTTATAGGAGAGGACGGACCAACTATTAGACAAGGAAAGTCCCAAGCGGATGTTCTCCAATCAGACGATGATCAACAGTTGTTGTTATATGTTTAAAGTTATTGTATTTTGTATTTGTTAAAAGGACCGGTCTATTAAGTTGTTTATTTATATTTATATTTATATTTATATTTAACATAACGTAACTTATATATATATATAGGTTGTTAAAGCTTTGCCAGGTCAGTGAATCCCGAAGCAAGAAAGCCTTAAAATGTGCTCATGTGTCTGAAATTCCAGTTGTGCCATCGGCAAGGGGGCATGTCACAACCCAGTGATTTTTGTGCCTCGGCACTATGGAATTTCCTGGTCACATGAGAGCTCTTTGCACTTCAGAGTGTTCTGCTGCAATTGAGAACCCGCGTATAGGAAAGAGTTCCCGCCAATCTGCAGTTTCCTTTGCAGGATGCATTTCTTCTTTGCAGCACAGAAATGCACAGTGCAAAGAGTTCCCGCTATTCGAATGTAAATTTGTGCCCCGCTATTGGCCAGTGCTAAATTATTCATACGTGGCAGCTAGTAATTGGCTCGCTGGCCATTTAAAATTCCACGCGACTTCCACCCAAGTCAAAGAGCTTTGAGCACACTGCAGAGTGCCTCTGAAGTTATCTGACTTGCGGCTGCCAATTGATAGACTGATCACCTATTGATCTTTCTTCCCGTCACCGAGCGCAATCCCAGACGTACCCCTTTCCTCACCAGCTTCGAATTGCGGACGGATTAACTGGCTTGGGCCCTGCCAGCTGGAACAACTCACGTGGTTGTTCAGACGACCGGACCACCTGCGTCGTGATTGCAAGCGGCGTGAGTAAAGTTTTTTGCAACCAATAAGTTGTGTCTGCCTCTCCATTCACCAGCCCGCCCTAACGTACGACCAATTTCTAACGCAACTTGAGTCGGCTCTGGCCGTCTGAGACAGAAGTGAATCCTTACTGCTTATTTAAAGATATGTCCACAAATAGTTTTTGGAAGTATTCAGCTTGTCCCCCTCAGTGAGCATGTCTACACAAGATACTACCACACAGTGGTTACTGCACATTTATTTAGTACTTTATATAGGCTTGTATAAACAAGCATGCACATTTATTTAGTACTTGTTTATACTTGTACTAAATAAATGTGCAGAACCGGGGGTACTGTGTAGTAGCACCAACGAACACCTTTTAAGTGATGCTACTGCACAGTAGCTTAATTAAACTGCACAGTAACTTCTTAGCACTGGTGGTGCTGTGATGAGCAACTTCACAGTATTATTCAGCTGCTGTGTAGTTAGCAGCTTATGTGGACACACCCAGTATGTTTAAAATGTGGGTTTGGTAAAGCATTTTGTGCTTGGATATTTCTTATCAAAATATATTTAGGGTTTCCTTTCCCTTTTCTGCTGTTAGTTACATTCCATCCTATTTCCTAACTTTCACGTCAATAGTTGTTTCTCTCTATGAAGCGGTGAAACAATGAGCCAGGAGGGTAGGGAGGAGTCAGGGGGGAGAATGTTGTGCAGCCCTGACAAACCTTAATCCTTTCTTCTGGATGTTGGCCTCCATTTGACTATTGACTCTGTGAACTCTACAGGTCACCCGCGTGATCCAGAAGCATAACTGTAGCTTTTGCAGATGCACCTGAGCCACTAAATGAGTGAGCTCATGCCTGAGCATTAGTGTAGCTATAACAACTGGAGCTCAGGATGGGCTAAGTGCCAGAATACTTGCCCAATATCCCAAGTGACATTTTCAGCCCACATTGAATACCTTGCTGTCTATTCAGTTCCTGAGCCTGCTTGCTTAAAGTGAGCTCCAGTACATCTTACACAGGCTGGAGTCACATCTTGCACTGCAGTAGAGACATGCCCACAGATGATATAGAATCCATTGCCCCTGCCTTATTAGCAAAGCTCTTCAATTCATAAGACTAGAAGACAGTTGACTACCCAGAACAAAGTGTGCAAATCTGTTGGGGCTATGACACAGCTGCTGAATCTCTGAGCTGGATGTCAACATAGAGAGATGTGATGATGGGTCACAAGGGTGAAGGGTAGCTGAATTTGAGGTATTACAAACTTGAAAACTGTTCTGGTTTGGTCCAGGCTCAGGATGTTCCTCATACATTGTTTGATAAGGTTCTTCCACCCTTGATATGAACATGGTAGTTGTTGACCAAAAGGAAGATACACTGTTGACCCGAGGGAAGATATAATGCCATAGGCTTATGGCATGGGTCTAGTAGAGAATCAGAGATATTAATCTGGAGATTGTTATGGCCTTACTTACAAATGCTTGAATTAGTACTATATAAATACAGTAAAAGTTCCATTAACCAGTGCCTAATAAGCTGGCATGTTCTATTAACCGGCATGCCAGCTTGTAAGGTAAAGTGAAAACAGAAGTACCCACCGTGGTACTTCGTTTCACTGAGCCCCCATTGCCCAGGGCAAAGCAGCCTGCGCTGCTGAGCTCCCACGGCCCAGAGGCGTAACAGGCTGCTCAGGGCCCACCTTCCTGTCCCACAGGGCCTGCATGGGAAAAGCGGTGGGAGAAACAGTGGCCTGAACAGGCAAGGATGCCTGTTTTGGGCACTTAATTAACCGGCATATGCCAGTTAATTAAAGTAATATTCCCCAGAGTTGCCAGATAACAGAGCTTTTACTGTATTATCAATGGGAGAAATTCACTCCTGTGTAGAAGCATGGACCTAGAACAAGGCCTATCTACTAGTTAACTCCCACTAAACTTCTGTTAATAGTACTGTAGTTATGAGATGCATAAGCTTTCTGCTGGCCCTCTACACAAGGATGATTTTTACCCAAACATTGCAGTTGGTTTCAAAATAAAGTGCGGGGACCATGGCAAATACAGGGATTTCAGCTAAGCAGGAGAAACAGAGATCAAGGAAGCAAGGAAGCAAAGGGGATAGATTAAGGAGAGTGCGATGGAATCAAGGGAAGGATGGCAGAATAGGGGAGTGGAAAGAAGGAGATGATGTTTTGTATGGCATGGGGACTAGAGCTGGATAACTGGCTTCTGACTGGATGTCAGAGTGAATAAGCTCTTCCTGAACAATTGTCCTTAGTGTACACTGTATGAAGGATAGTGCTATGCAGTCACTTTCTGAATTATGCCATTTACCATAAAGTAAGAATAAATGCAAATCACTTAGCTTACTAAGAGGCAGGGCAGAAAAATCCCATCATGCCCAGACATCTTTAGAAGAGGAAAGACCAACCTTCTTTTCCATTTGCTTTTTACTTCTTATTTATTTCCTTTTGCTCCTTTCCCAGGCACTTTCTTCCTTCTGGGTCAGCCAGTTTAAATTGAAGCCTGTAGTGAGAGATCCATTTCTCGCCAAACAAACTCCTTTACAGGAAAGACAATGACTTTAGATATATTTTTAAACAAGTATCCCGCCCTCCCTTCCCCCTTTATTGGTTTGGTTGCTTTATTTTTGTCAGCTGACGCTCTGAGCCAAATGCTGCTTCTCCCACCCTACAGGAAAGCCAGCAAAAGAACTTCTCAAGAGTGTCTGGCACAGCCTGGGAATTCTTTTACCTTTGCAGGGAGGTTCTATCTTCTCTCTTTTAGGCTTGTCTCAGCAATAACAAAACAAAATTAGTCTCCCAGGGAAGAAGTAATTATTACCCACCATGTTATTTCAGTCACTCTCTTTTCTCATTGGTAAGAGATATAAAAAGGGAAGGGAAGCAATAACGTCTTCCAAAAAGATAAAAATAAACCCATCCTAAAAATGGGCTAGATCATTCTCCCCAGCCCATGTATGGAGTTTCAGTAATACTGATGGGAGCTCAGGACATGGGCCTAAAATTAAGGGAATGTTAAGGAAAATTATGACATCAAATACTTGGGCATACTTACACCTACACCTCGTCCCATGTTGAGTGGCTCCTGTTACAGATTACATTTCCTCCTCTTGTGGGAGAACCAGGTCCAACTCTCTTCTCTGCCATTGTCCTTCATCCCAGCTGAGTAGCTTAGCCACAAAAAAGTTAGTGTCTGTTCTGGGTGCGTCTTCCCCTGGTTCTAACTGGAAATTCTGTCTGGGAACTGAGAAACCTTTCCTGATATCTATCGATCTAAAAAAAAAAACAAAACAAAAAAAAAAAACAAAAAAACAAAAAACAAAAAAAAAAAAAAACCAAAACTGGGGCATGTTTACAAACATATTTGGTTTCAACAAAATGGTCTTTTCCATATGAAAAGCTGTTTCATTGAAAGCTTCTTGATCAACTGTCCTGAGTTGATCCCAAAGTTCATCCTTTGAGTCCCCTTAATCCAACCTTCATAAAGAAGCAATATCTTGGATTTTAAACTCTTGTCCTCCCATATTCAGATAGGCAATTGCTCTGCAAAGCAGGCAAGCATCATCACTAGAACTGTGCTGAGCTTTTCAATTAGCAGGCAGCTCCAAAACATCAAAAGGTATGATTTGGTTTGGGCCAAAATAAAAAAATCCCTCACTTCAAATAAAATCAAATGTTTCAATTGACCAGAGGACAAAATGTTACATTTCCAAAATGTGAACAGTTTTATATTACTTTTAAAAAAGGGAACAAAAAGAAATTTTAAAGAAAAAGTTGTTATGAATTGAAGATCAATTTGTTTAATTTTGAAATGTTCAAACTTGATTACACATCATAAAAAGTTATGGTTGGAAGGGACCTCAGGAGGTCATCTAGTCCAACTTCCTGTTCAAAGCAGGACCACCCCCAACTAGATCAAGTTCAACCAAGTTCAACTTCGATTTGTGTAATAAGTTGATTTGACAAAGATGTATTTTTGTAGAAAACCAAGTTTCCCCTGAAAATCTTGCCACAGCTCTAATTGTGTTACAAACTGAGTAACATTGACTTTGATGGCCATCCAGTAGGCCAAAGGGAGAGCCAACAGTGGAAGCTGGGCTGCCTGGATCGGCGAGGTCTATCCTATTGGTCATGCTACTACCATTGAGTTAAGTGGACCTGCTTGCAAGTACACAGTTACTCTGGCACCTGCAAAGTCCAACACACAAATGCGTTAAAATGTATCTTTGGAACAAAACTAAATTTGGACACAAGTTTCAAGAAGCAGAAGAGAAGTGTCTTGACAACAATTCTGAGAAGTAGATTATGCCATCCTTTCCCTGAACTGATAATAATTACTCACTTGAGTGGCCCCATTGAAGTTAAGGGATTCATAAACGGGGCCCAAGCAGACAGTTATCACAACTTTTGGTATTATTTATTGAGAGAAATTCCAGCTTAGAAATTGGATTCTTGATTTAGGGGGAAAAATGAATACAGTACTCAATATCCAGTAGAATTTTTGGACTTTTAAAGCATTGTCAAATCTCAACTTCCACTTGGCTAAGATTCAAAATCCTACGCATTTTTATGGGTAAACTACTCTCATATTTAACAACAATTCAATACCCTAAAAATAAGAAGCATGGATGCCTTATTAGCTGATAGCAAACTAAATGTGGTAATAAAGAAAGAAGAATCGGTTTCATGTTTTAAACAATTGCTTCAAATCTGGACAAAGTCCTAAAATAATAAAGGAAGCAAACATTTCCATCATAAACACATTTATTATTTCCACATGGGGTGTGTGTATTTGTATAGTATGTGCAATTAGGCTTCCTTTCACAAATTAGAAATATGTTTCAAATTCCATATGAACAATAGCCACTCTCACCAAGAGGTCTCAAGGTTTCTTTTGTGACACACTGGAAGAACTAGGAAACTTGGGAAAACTGGTGTGATCCCTTTAATGTAACCTCTTTAGAGTTGGGTGAATAGTACAAAATGTTCTTTGGTGGCCTGATCCAGAGCACATTAAAGTTAGTGAAAGTGGGCCCAATTTGAATTTATGTTGGCCAGTTTTTCTTCCTTTCCGCATTCACATTTATTAGCATTTGTGTGATGGTTCTTGTGAATATCCACAAAAAGTCAACACTACTAAGCAGCACTTTGAGAAGTGAGGGCCCAATTCTCCTGTATACTACACAGTCTTTACACCACTCTGGTTTTAGAAAGTAATTGTAATTTGGGTGTATATGCAACGTATGCCCACTTCAAGCACTTTCATGCTGCCACAGTGATGTAAAAGAATTCTTTGTTTAAATGGGCTTGAAACTTCAGCTACAATACAAAGTGATCAGAATATTTGTCCAGTTTTTAATGACCCCTGAATCTTTTAAAGTCATTATTCATAGGGAGTTTTCATATGCTCTTGTTCTTCCTGGGTTTGTCTGGGGGTTAAAAGCTTGATCCTATGTCAAGAAAAAAAAAAATTGTGGAAGATGGGGGTCTAGGATGGAATATATTGTAGAAAAAGTTGCTTTCAAGGTTCAGTGGTTGTTGCTGTTAAGTTTTCATTTTCTGGGAATGTCTATAATCGCATCTCAGGAAAGGGACTGCGTGCTGCCAGGTGCTGTACACATTTTTATGCAGCTACATTCCCTGCTGTCCAGAACTCACAGCAATATTCAGACAAAACACAATAAGTGAGTGGAAAAAAGCATTAGGAGGAAGGGAGCAGGAGGCCGAGGGCAGTAATAAGGAGATAGGGGCACAATGGGAAATGTTCAATGAAACCAGCGGGAGTTAAACATTCAGTTCTCAAGAGTTTCCAGTGTGAACTGGGTACCTATTAGTCCTATGACATTTTCTCTTATAGAGATGGATTAAACAATTAAGGGAGAGATTTCCAAATATATTCAGAACTGGCTGCTCCCATTAAAAATCGATGGTACACGTCCCTTATCTTCAATGGAATCCGAGTTAAGGTTATAGCAAGTGTTATGAAAAATCCCATAATTAACCACATAATTAACTTCCACCCAGAACATCCCCTGGACATCCATTCTCAGGAAGGTATATTAACCCATGCTGTATTCCGACTCCCACCAAAACTCATTTAAAACTAGCTGAGGTCCCTTATTGGCATGGACACATACAACACCTAGAAGGGCTCAAATAATGTTTAACCCTAAAGCACACAGACACAAACTGTTTTAAAGCTGTCCAGAATGGTTCAAAAACATACCTGAAAAATCAAGTACTATTTTGAATCAGTGCACTCTGAACTGCTTCAGTGTTTCCTGTGGACACCAAGCATGCTGAGACAAAGGTCTGATCTGTCCGCTAGCATCCCATGCTGCATTCTTCCTCACCCCCTCACATTGCTGCACCTGGTTGCTCTGGTGTGTTACCAGAAATCTACCGACCCCCTTTTCCTCCTTTTTGTTGGCACTTCTTATCAACAAGCTCTCTTACACTGCTTAGTCAATGAAACCTGATTTTTTTTTTTTTTTTTTTTTTTATTATTAAAGCTAGCTGTATCCTCACTTCCTTCTTGAGGACAGCTCATCATCATGACACCCCAGCCCTGGGAACCAAAAAGCCTGGGTCCGAGTACTTCCCCTTTTCTCCAACCCCCTGCAGAAGTCAGGCAGACTCCAGTAATTTACAGGCTATTCAAGTTTATTGAACTCATGTTGAGGAAACAAAGGAAAGCAGAAAAGTGACAATTCCCCCAGCCACCCACCCCCTGGGACTCCCAAAGCATGGGTGCTGTAACAGGCTCTGCCTCACTGGTTGGTTGCAGTATAGCCCCAAGGGGCCACCCTAAGCCCATTCTTCTACTCCAGTTCCCCTTCTCAGGTCTCCTTTCTTTCCTGCCATGCTTTAATATCAAAAGTTAATAAATTTGGAGAGGCTACCTAGAGTTTGGCTTTTGGTGCCTTATCTTGCCCTATGCATTGTAGTTGACTCATCCTCACACCCTAACTGGAGCAGGGCTCTCTCTTTTTCTTTTGTCTCAGCTCCCCAGGTCCAGTCTCTCTTTCTCACTCATTCAGGTGTACTGGACCCTCCAGGCTTTGCCCCCTCACCCTCCCCAGGCTTTAGCCCCAGCTGCCCACTGGGTCCCAGACTTTGTAAGGGCTCTGAGTCTTAGCCTCTCACAATATGGAGTGTCTCTAGGGGACTCCCCCTGTGACCCCTGCTATTTCTGGTCACCCTGTTCAGGCATCCAGCCCTTGACCTCAGCCCTTCTTGTGCCTGGACCTTCAGCCTCAGGTACAGGTCCTCTAGACCTCCTTCCACTTTTGGAACACCAGCCCCTTTAGGCCTCCTCCTCCTCCCAATCCTAAGCCAGGCATCCTTTGGGACACCTACCCCTCCAGTCCTCACTGTGTTCATACATGGGCCTTAGTCCTCTCTGCCTTAGCTCAGCTTACTCTGCCTGCCCACTTTGAAGGGTACCCCAGGCACCCTGCTACATGGTCTCCTCCCCTGCAGCCACAATCTAGTCCTCTAGTGTAAAACAAACAACAAAAAACATAATGTAAGTCCCCATAAGATATATAGCATGCCTACATATCCATTACATACCTGCAGAACTTCTTCTGCTATGAGATTCTGAGCCTTGGGCTCTAGGCTCTGGCTTATATGGCCTTTGGGCCTTCCCCTCCACCTGACCTGGCCTGGTGTTAACAGGGCCCAGGTGCTGCTCATCCCCTATTCAGGAGCCCAGTATTCTGCTGCCTGCAACCTGAAGGCTAAGCCTTGCAGCCCTATCAACAGGAGTCCTTGCAGGGTGCATCTGCTCTGCCTCTCTCTACTCTTCCTTCCTCCAAGTAATGGGGAAGGGTCACCTGTTGCAGTTGCAAGCATCATTACTAGACTCACTTCCCCATTTGCTTACTACAAGTCATGCTAGAATAGAATTGAAGCCACAGCACTTCATACAACTGTGAAGTGGTTCCAAATGAGTGACCTTTTGAAATGATTTGAATGCTATGTGTGTCTGCACCCACACTGCAGATGGTGGTGTAGACACATCTATAAATGAGTGTTCCCTATGGTGTCCTGGGAGCACAGTGTGAGGAAACCAGAGCACTCTGAACTACATGTGCAGGGGTGGGTATTATGCCCATGCTGCATATACAGAGGAGGAGAGGTGTGGTCTGCTTGCACTGCACACAAGAAAGACAGAAGCTAGATATTACAGGTGGGCTGGGAAGGGGAGCCAGGCTGCCTGAATTGCAGGTTGGGGGTGGGAGGTAGTACAGCATGTGCAGGTGGGAGGAGTGGGGATACAAGATGAATGTGTGGCTGGGGAGGGGTGCATGGAGGGAGGAAGAGGATCCAGGGTGCATGCATGGCTTTGGGAGAGGGGTCATGCTGAGCTTCCATGCAGTGCAGGAGAGTCCTGGGTGGGACTGCCTTCAGGGCAAGGGTCCCTCAAGTCTGCAGCCCATGAAGCATATGGGTCCTAGCTGCCTGAAAATTGGACAGCCCTGCCTTAGACAACAGTGTCTTGGCCAGACCTGGTATTCCTGCCTCTCCTACTATTGAGTGACTTTGGACAAGTCATCATTTCTGTTCCTGAGTGTTCTGAGAAATGCTCAAGGAAATTGGGGTATAACAGCTGATACTAAAAAAAAAAAAAATCAAAAAATCAATGCTTAACAATTTATCCTACAGGACATTTTTTTTTTTTTGGATTATAAATCTGCCCAGTTGCACAGCTAGGCTGTATCAGAAAGAAACTGCATCAAGATAAAATATCCTTATCCCACAATATGCTATTGTAAGGTGATAGTATCCGTCTGCCCCAGGTTAATTTTGAGGTGCATGAAATAAGATTTGGCCTGCAAAATTATGTTGATACCAAGCTTACAATTATCTATGTTTTATACAGGCTTTTGGTGTTATGGTGCACTGCTTGGTATGTGTCCGCATTTAGGGGCAGATCAAGGGTGGGTGCAGTGATTCACCAACTGTTTTAACTCTTTGATTCCTGTTCCATCCAAACTTTAAAGCTAACTGCATGGGAGGTGCAGCAGCATTTCTATTCAAGCAATGCTGAGCCAAATGACTTCATGGCTCATTGTCATCTCCTTGTTTCCTACTAATCTCTCCACTCCACAGATATTACAACCTTCTGTTCTGTTTAATAGTCTTGATGTTCTACTATTCAAATGACCTTTTCTTGAGCAATTTTGCTTTCTGTTAGCCATTCTTGTTAGCCATTCTCTCTTTTATTTCACAGCCTTTGTTTTTTGTTTGTTTGTTTTAACTAAAAACCTTACCTCAGTTGTGATAATATTAACTCGGGTATAGAAATTGTGTGTGAAGTGCTGGAGGCACTGTCAAGATGATCATAAAGGCTTGGTTTCAGTTTATAAATCTGAGTAAGAAATGTACATGTATCATAATGACTACAGGACAAATGACACAATGTATTTTGACTAATTTTGCCTAGTTTGTTGTGGTTTGGTAAACTTTATATATAATCTAGCAAATTAGTGCATATTCCAATAGTTATATTTGTGTTTGCTTTGATCTTAAACAGAATAATGCAATGCTAGCCTCCCATCATATCAGTAAAGCTTCTAGTTTCTATTTAACTACAGAAAATGTGTTGTGTTGTATATGATGATATACCACACTATCTGCACCCCTTTTTTAAAATATTAGATCCTCCCATTCCTGCATATATGTGTGTGTGTGTGCTACAGAGAGAGAAAGAAAAAGCATGCCTTAAGCTGTGAATACAAAAGAAACCCATCTCCCTTTTGAATGCAGAAATACACAAATAGCATTCCTTTAACTCGTTTCTACACTTGCATTTAAGTCCCTTGCCATTTAGTACACTTCACATCCCTCCAGGGCAGAACATAGCAGTAGCCACTTATACTTGGGGAAGAAAGGTTTTAATGAAACAGGAAATGAATCATTTGACTGCAAGGCCTAACACATCATTTCTTTTATATGATCAGCCTTGGATTTTAATGTTTTGGTTGAGGATTTTTTTTTTTTTTTCAAATACTAATCTTTTGTTAGTTTTTCTCCTAACAGGCAGTGTTTCAGGGATATTATAAACACTTACTTGTATTAAACTAAGAAACAAGGTCCTTTGAAAGCCCTAAGATTGTTTTAACTCTTTCATTCCTGTTGCTCTACCCATGCTTTGCTCTGTTGAAACCAATGTAAAACGAGGCTATCCCTGGCACATTCAATAGGAGGGTAGACAAACTGCTTCTGAAGACACATGACTTTCCCTATAGCAGACGAGACCAAAAGTTTCAAGTAATGCAACAATAAGTGTACTTTGAACACACAGTAAAACAGTTTGTGTCAGGACTAGACTACCTTAGAATGCATAAGTGCCCATTCTTGCTTACAGCAGTAGAAATCAGAAAAAATAAGGTTGTGATTTAGACCCAGACCTGAACATTAGAGAAATGCTTGAATTCAGTTATCATCTTTGTTTCCTGAGAAACTTTAAATTGACTCAATTACCTGTTTTTGAAAAGGGGTCATAATTCAGCCCTACTTTGCAGCATCCTAGTAAATCTATAGCTGGTTGTGAGATACCCATGTACTACAAAAGCGGGGCCCATATAAGTTGCTAGAAAACTAGAGCATCTTCATTGAAGTCAATGGAGCAGAGTGGAAATGGAAAGAGAATCCGATCAGTGGTGTTCATTTTCCTCTTGCCTAGAAAAATCCTGAAGAAAGGGGAAAATATATCACTTGAACTTGAATTAAACTGCCATAATTTTCTAAAGGAATAATGGGTAATCCCAGGTGCAGAGGGGGTCCAGATTCAGAGGAGGTCCAGACTGGCTGCCTCAAGGACCTTGCTTCACCACAGCCTGCACAGCTGGAGGAGAAGCCCACATCTGGGGGGCTTCTGTCATTGGCAGCAGCAACAGCTCCTGTGCAAGGAGGTAAGTACTCCCCACTAACTCCCAGCACTGATCTACTTCCCTCCCCAAGACATCCCAGCCAGGGCTCCAAAATTCCTAGTTACACTTCTGAATTCCTTTGATTTCAGGAGAAGTTTGTGGGCACTTTGCAGTAGAACTGTGCATAACAAATGGATTTGTTAACCGACAATCCAAGAAGATTGTTTCTGAGTGACCCTAAGTGTGTGTGTAAAAAAAAAAAAAAAAAAAAAAAAGTCAATATCTTCAAGGAGGCCCAAAATCAGAAACCAATATCCCAACTAAGAAAAACATTTTTTTTGTTTTTGTGTGAGCCCTTTAAAATATTTTAAATCCATTTTTTAATAAAGGAGTAAGAAAGATGTAAAAACAAAATGGAAAAACAGTCTTTCATTTTAAAAATTGTTGAAACGTTTTGAATGTTTTCAGAATCTTTTTTTTGTGTGTGTGTCATTCCACTGAAAATATTGGCTAAAATTGCCATGACTTCATGATGTACTTTAACTGATTCCAAACTTCATTTTTAGTGAAAAAAAATCTATCCAACTCTATTCAATACTTCTGAGGACAAGAGCTTTTCATAGTTGACAGTGTTAGTAAGAGAATTTATTGACAGGTTTTTTCCTAATGCTACGCAGCAATAAACTGAATAGACCATTCATTTTACAGCATTCTAGTCATTTTGTTTTTATAGGACACTTGTTTCTGTTTAAACTTAGGGTTGAACTGAACAATATGTTTGTACAGTAGTGAGGAATCCTCTTATCAGAAGCATTCTAAAGTTCATGTAAACACTATACAAAGATGACAAGTGATGTGATCCTAGACACAGAACCCCAAACCTGTATCCATGCAGCAAAGACCCCACTTTTAGATTTGATATATCAGGTGCCATGGGGCACATCCCCATGAGTGGAAACACGCATTCCCTGGGGACAACAAGCAGTGGCACAAATATGTGCCTAGAGTTGTCCCTGGAGAATGCCCCAGCATGCACACTCTGGCACACAGCAAGTTGCCCAGGATGGGGTAGAGGACACTGGGGTCAGCACCTGGGTTGGCCCCAGCAGCCTTATCTGGGGTCTTGGGGGCCTCCTAGGGCTCCTGCAGCAATGATCCAGGCATGCAGAGGCTGGCCAGCAGCCAGAGCATAGCTCTGGCCAGCCAGGTTCTAGTTTGGGGTGGCACACGCTGCTGCTACATGCACCACCCAGCAGCACTGCAAACCACACGTGTGCCTATCTGGACTCTCCCATATTGTACTTGTTAGTTTGACAATAAGGAAAGTCCTCGAAAATAGTTCCCTTAAGTTAATTCTGTGGTGCGGAAACACTCATTCTGTAGCTTCATTCATAAGACAAAAGCATAGTTTCAGGATTGCAATAATGAGCCTTGTTCTTCATGATGTTGTACTTTTTTTAACCATTCACTTCTGGGCAAAGTAAAAGTGAAATAATATGAAATTGGAGTTATAGCATGTTGCTTTTTATTTCTACAGGGATAAATGAGCATACAAGGTGCAAGACAGTGAAGAATCAGATCCGAACTGAAAACTGCCTCCTGCTAAATTTTTCAAAATAAACACTTCTTTAATGAGCTGGACTTCACTGAAAAAACAAGTTCCTTAGTTGATGTAAATGATCATATTATCAAACTAAAAATTAATCACGGTCCTCTTAAGAA